TAATAATAATAGGGGCAGGAATATTAAAACATGCAGCCCGCGGGCCGCCCCCACAGCTGCCATGAGACACGGCGCCGGAGCGGTGCCACTGCTGCTCAACATGTACCTGCCAGGTATGGGCGGACCCCCCGGCCGCTGCCCTGCACCGCACAGCGCCCTGCACCGCACAGCGCCCGGCCCCGCCGCCCTGCCCCGCTGCTGCCCCCGGCACTTTCTATGCCCCGGCTCCCTCCCGCACCCACCCTGCCGTCCCGTCTCCCTCCGTCTGTCCTCCCTGCCTTCCAGCCCCCCAACCATCCCTTTCTCCCTCCTTTCAACTGCCTTCGCAGCCTTCCGTGCCTTCACACCCACCCTCCCATCCTTCATCTGCCCACCATCTCCATGTCCTTCCATCTGTCCCCCTGTCCTTCCAGCCCTCCATCCACTCCTTGCTCCTTCGAACCCAGCCTTCCCACCCATTCACCTTTCCCGTGTGCTTCCATCCATCCTTCCACCCCACCCCCTTGTCCCTCTGTCCCTCTTTCTGTCCTCACGACCAGCCATCCCCTCCATCTACCCTGTATCACTTCTATCAGCCTGTTTTCCACCGTCTTACCCATTACCTGCCCTTCCTTCCACCCATCCACCTCTCGCCCTTCCTTCCCTCCTGATTCTTATTCTTCTCTCCATCTACCCACTCAACCATTCTCCTTTCTGCCTGTCCATTCATCCACCCATCTCCCCTTCCTTCCTTCTTTCCATCCACTTCCCCATCTATCTTTTCTCTCCCCATCTGGCCGCTCCCCAAACAGTGACACTCGTCTTTCTTTCCCCCCGCTGCTCCTGCACCCATCCTTCCACCACAGCCGCCTCCTTTCCCTCTCCCCCTGCCCAGCAGCTCTGTCCCTCTCTCCTCTCTACCCCAGCCCGCAGGATTTTCTATTCCTATTTAAAAGCTTCCCCGGCTCCGTCGGAAATCGGATTTCCTTTTTCCTGGACGCGCTTCCTGGCTTCGCCGCGCCGGCGGGGCAGGCGAGGGGGAGCGGCCG